GCTTCTTGTGTCTAAAGAAAATAAAAAGAATACATTAAAAAAAATTACAACCCAAATAATTATTATAAATTTATTTTATTTAGTTCTGAGTCAAAAATTCAGACAGAAATTATAAATGTGTAGAAGAGAGATATTAGACTTTAAACTTCTGTCATAATTATCAGTTACATTAAATCTGAACTAAAAATAATTGTTCTTCCTCTCCACCTACCCCTCCTCCTCCTCTGCCAACCTCCTCCCCTTTCCTCCTCTTCCTTTCTATTGCAGATGGAACCCAGCGCCTTGCTAGGCAAGCTATCTACCATTAAACTGTGCTCTCAGCCATAAATCATTCTCATGTTAGTACTCAGATCATCTGATAATTTAAATTACATAATCAATTCAAAATATAAAAATTGAAAATTTAAACTAACAATTCAAAAGTATGTTTTTGCATCACATTTTTTTTCTTTTTCTCCTCCTAGTCTTATTTATGCCCACTATTATTAAATATCAAATGATTATCTGATGAAAATCATTACTCAGATCAAGATAATTATAAGAATAATGTAATCTGAGGTATTTGAAGGAGGCATCAAATGTCTTCTTCCACTTAGAAATCTACAAAACAGTTTTCCTCAAGAGATATAGATTACACATATAATGTATGTATCCAAAATACAGTTTACAATGAAATGTATTAAAGCACATTACAGATAAATAAGATAGCCTGTAAAACCAGATGTACTTGTTTTTGCTTCTCCTCTAAATTCCATGTTGTTGTTGTTCAATGCCACATTTCCACTGAACTCCTTGGCCTCCTTTTACTCTAGTGCTCCATGTGTGCCTTGGGAAGTTTACTACATTTTTCGCAACTTCTTTTGATTCCTCTCTACTGTTTCAAATCTATCTTGTACACTTAAAAAAAAGTTCTGCATAAAACATTGATAGTGCTTTCAGATATAAATGTTTTGAAGATGCATTGTCCATCTTTGTTCTAAGATCATCAATCTGCATGAATAAAATAACACAGTTGAAAATAAGATGCTGAAAATATTTGACACAAAAACAAATAGCAAATTTTACATAAATTCAATTGCAATGAAACATAATCTACAGCAGCATTTGATGAGTAGATTAAGTTCCTATAATAGGATATATTAGCTTTTCAGTTGGTCAAAGAATACAGATCTATAAATCTCTATTCTGGCTACATAAATATTGGGGGGATTCTAGATTTTTTTCCCATACTGAAAAAAGTATGAGCAATCTACAAATGAATTCACTAATGGATTAATTGAGTTTGATTTTATACTCAGTCACTGATATATAGTTAAAATTAAAGTCTTTACAGGTCAATCTATTAACAAAAATTTTTGGTAGGATATAAAATTGTAATTTTCTGAAATCAACTGTTATGCAAAAAATATTTTCCATTCATCCTAGACTAGGTGTGAATATCAAATATTACTCTCATCTTGAGTGCATTTATATTTCAACAAGATAATCACCATGCAAACACTATTGGTGACAAAAAAATCAGAGAAACTGCATGAAAAAGAAAAATTTATTTTTATGTGAGCTCTGAAAGGAGGAGATCAAATAAGGAAAAACAGACCAGAAAGAAAGCACAGCATGAGAAAAAGAGAGAGATGATAAAATAAGCACAATTTGTGAAGACCACCAAGAGGCAAGGTAATAAAAAACATGTCCATATGTTAACTAATAAGGCAGTATAAAGAATCCTCAGAAATCTTCTAATGTAATCACCATTTGACCCAGTTATCCCACTACTTGGTTTACACACACAATCCTTAAAAATCATCACACTACATTGACACAGCCACATCAATGTCTATAATAGTTCAAATCACAATAGCTAATCTATGAAACCAATCTAGGTGTCCTTCAATAGATGAATGAATAAAAAATGGGTTATACATACACCAATAGAATATTACTCAGCTATGAAGAAGAATGAAATTATGGCATTTGCCAGTAAATGGATGGAATTGGAAATTATCACCCTAAGTGACAAAAGCCAATCTCCCAAATCCAAAAGCTAAATGTTCTCTCATGAGTGGATGCTAACACACACTAAGGGTGGGGAAGGGAAGAAGAGAAGTTCATTGGATTAGTCAAAAGGGATGGGAGCAAGAATGAGAATAGGAAAGACAGTAGACTAAATCTGACACAATATTCCTATGTACACATATGAATAAATGACTAGTGTAACTCCACATAATACACAAATATAAAAATGTGAAGTTACACTTCATGTATGTATATTTTGAAATAGTCTACTGTCATGTGTAGCTAAAAAGAACAAAAAATAAATGAATATAAATTACTTTGTTTATATTTATTAATTACTTAATGTATTTAATAATATGTACATAATATATATATATATATATATATATATATATATATATAAAACCTTTAAAAGCATGCTTTTAAAGATTGTTCTTTTCAAGAATATGAAGATGTTCTAAAATTAACTGTGTAAATGGTTATATAACTTTGCTAATATATTAAGAGACACTGAATTTGACATGTTAAATGGGTAAATTGGATGACTTGTGCCTTACGTATATCACAAAATGCCTTTTAAAAGATCTACTATACAATCTTGAAAACATTTTTCATTGCCTAGCTTTGATATCAGTAACAGACATTATAAAAATATTTATATGCTTTAATAATGTATGTAAAATGAAAAAAAAAAAAAAACATAAAGGAATAGCCTAAGTTTTTCAATAATTAAACATACATGTATTTTGAGAAAAGCATAACAGCCATTTTGTACAAATTTTTTTAAATTCATTTAGTAGTTATCTGCAGATTCTGTATAGATGCACAAAAATGAAGGTAAAAAATAACACAATTCCCTGAAACATTCTATTAAATAGCACATCTGATTTAATTTTTCTTGACTTTCCATGGAAATAGAGATAGTATTAAAAGCTGCTGGGTTATACAAAAAATGTCTTAACTTTCCTCAGGGTAGATAAATTAATGAAAGATGTTTTATGTTGTTAGAAAAAAAAATCCAAAATAAAATTATAAGTGTAAGAAATAAGTGCAGTATAAATATCACAAAATATAATACAATCAATTGTAATGAAAATACAAAGAATCCCAGAAAAAAATTTTACCACTTAAGCAGATGTAGATTTACAGTTGACATGTTCACTTTTGTACATACTTCACTTGTCATTTGTCCTAGTGTCTTCATTAAGTCCTGTCTTTATCCTTTAAATTCATGTGAAAACGTAGTCAATCTTTTAGTGAAGACTTTGATACAGATTGTAATTTCAGGGTACTAGCTGGTTGTTTTTCAAGATGTCTCACAACTATCTGATATTTCTGTTAATGATTTTGTTACCCAGCTCAATTTAAATATATAAATAATATTTTATAATGCTGTTTACTATGAAAAAAAATATCACTGCATACATCACTTTATCCTCTTTTTTACATGTGTGTATACGTCTGTTTATTTCTGAATTCCTTTAAGGAAACAGAAGGTTCTCTACTCTGGCCTAATCACTATCAAATTCCTTAGATGACAGGGTCAGCCCTGTATCTCTACATACTGCCCTTGATAGAGTTGCAATGTTTAACAACCTATTAAATTCTCAATCAGAAATGGTTACACAGGTCTCATTGATGGTGGTGAATTCTACAGAGGTTATTATCCCTCTCTATATTAGAGGCTAAAATTAATACCCCAAATCCTCACATCTTCAAACCTTTGCTAAAATAATTCCAATATACCTTAACAAACCTTTGCTAAAATAATTCCAATATATTTTCATGAAGAATTAAAGAAACCCTAGGTAACCTGCTCTCCACCTCAGTTCCAGTTCTCAGCTCCTAGAAATCTCACTGATCCTCACACCACTCCTGCTGTACATAAATCCTGCCACACCCATTAGTCTGGAAATGGGGATTCAGTGCCAAATTAATGAACTATAGATGGCTACAATTATCTTTGTACTGAAAGATGCTATTTAAGAATAGCAATTGAGCCACAAAATGAAGCAAACCATTAGCAAGTTATCATGAATAAATGCAATGAATTACAGATTAAATCAGCTGTTATTTAGCTGTAATTCATCACATTTGTCCAACTTTATGATAATGACAAATAGATGCTTCTAAAGATGTGGACAGGTCATGAATAAAAATTTAAAAAAAAATATATGAGGACAGCTATTTACAGATTTAAGTTGAATTGACATGACTAAAAATAAATTTACCAACTCGAAATATATAAAAATATAATAAAGAGACTATATTACAAAATACTACATCTACATTTCAGTTCAACTGGGAAATCATTAATGAGCTGTCAAAGTAACTAACTTAATTAAAACGAGGTATGACAGGGGCTGGGGATGTGGCTCAAGCGGTAGCGCGCTTGCCTGGCATGCGCGCTTGCCTGGCATGCGTGCTACCCGGGTTCGATCCTCAGCATCACATATAAACAAAGATGTTGTGTCCGCTGAAAACTAAAAAATAAACATTAAAAAATTCTCTCTCTTTTAAAAAAATAAAACTAGATATGACAATTTCCATTAAATTTGTTATTAAAATTGTTATTCAGTGATGGGATGTAGCTAACTGGTAGAGCATGTGTTTAGCATGTGCAAAGCTTTGTGTTGTATTAACAGCACCACAATAAGATATTGTTTCAGCATTATTGACAGTATTACTAATGTCATCATACACATCTACTAAAAACCTGTAACTCAATCTTTTATATCTTCATAAGAAACACAATTTCTGAAAATGAGGAATCTGTTAGGTCCAAGTTTTAAAAATTTCCTCTTTTTTAAAAATGAACTAACTACTGGGGTCGCTATCCCGGCGGGCTGCGCGCGCGGCGGCGTTTGAATGGCTCTGAGTGGGGCCCGGCCCTGCAGTAGAGGGACGCTTTAGGCTGTCCTGCGGCAGTTTGCCAGCGCCAGCGCTGGGGTGAGGCGCTGCGGTACCATGAGGCGCCGGTATTTAAGAGATTGTGGCATCTGAAACCCACAATGTTAAAAAACGGAACTTTTCTAATAATATTGAGGATCATTCCATTGGTCTTCCTAGAAAAAAGATCTCTAATTTCACCAATAAGAACATGAAGGAGGTTAAGAAATCTCCAAAACAGTTGGCTGCTTATATAAATAGAACAGTTGGACAAGCTGTGAAAAGCCCAGATAAACTACGAAAGGTGATGTATCGCAGAAAGAAAGTTCAGCATCCTTTTCCAAATCCTTGTTACAGAAAAAAACAGTCCCCTATAAGTGGGGGCTGTGACATGGCAAATAAAGAAAATGAACTGGCTTGTGCAGGCCACCTACCTGAAAAATTACACCATGATAGTCGAACATATTTGGTTAACTCCAGTGACTCTGGTACTTACAGACAGAAAGCCCATCATCTAAATACAGTGGGGTTTTTTCCGAGGTTTCTCAGGATCATGAAACAATGGCCCAAGTTTTGTTTAGCAGGAATTTGAGACTGAATGTAGCTTTAACTTTCTGGAGAAAGAAAAGTATAAGTGAACTTGTAGCTTATTTGGTGAGGATAGAAGATCTTGGAGTTGTGGTAGATTGCCTGCCTGTACTCACTAATAATTTACAGGAAGAAAAACAATATATCTCACTTGGCTGCTGTGTAGACTTATTGCCTCTTGTAAAGTCATTACTTAAAAGCAAATTTGAAGAATATGTGATAGTTGGTTTAAACTGGCTTCAAGCTGTAATAAAAAGGTGGTGGTCAGAACTATCATCCAAAACAGAAATTATAAGTGATGGAAATATTCAGATTTTAAAACAACAATTAAGTGGCTTGTGGGAACAAGAAAACCATCTTACTTTGGTTCCAGGATATACTGGTAATATAGCTAAGGTAATCTATATTTAAGTTTAATGTTAGACATTAAAAATAATACTGTTGTACATTTATAAACAAACTATTCAGATCTTCAGGTAAAATAATTTGGTACTATTCTAAGAAGTTCTGAAATCAATCTCATATTTGCAAATGCTTAAAGTCCTCTGGATGTATGAGTGACCTAGGCAGTAAGAACAGGAATTAGCCATTGAATATGTTTCATAAATAACCATAGAAATGTTGTGCCAGACAGCATTTAATAATCTAGTTCCAATCAGACAGCAATATTTGAAAAAAGTTAAAAATTCAGATAAAGACAACATCAAACCAAAGACAATGACACTCAGGAAATAAAAGATGAAGAGTACAAAAAAAAAAAAAAATGGACTAACATCCATTTTATCTAAGTATTTTGTGTTTAATTGACACATGACTACCTACAGTTATTTTAAAATATGTATACAGTGTGTAAGAATCAGAGCAGGAAAACTGGAAGATTTAGCACTTCAAACACAGATTGTTTGTTTTGGGAATGAGGTCTAAGTTGTATTTGCTAAAAAACAGGTTGTTTTTCTGTGTTTATACACAAAACACATTTATAATGTATAATTTTTTATATTCATGAAGATTCAATGTTTAGCCATAAGCAGATATCACTTTGAGTATTTCTTCGAAGATCCTTTATACAATTATCTTACTTGATACTTACTTCCGCTTTCTCCTTTCCAAATTGATCTAGTTGTTCTTTTAAATGATTAGTTTCATTAATTCCAAATATTTGTTTTCCAGCATGAGATGATGTTTGTCATTCTGAGCTTGAAGGTTTTTTTTTTAATAATATCATAAAATGGGGTTTGGATATTAATAAACCTCATGAATTTGACCATCGTATAGTAAGAGGTTTAGCTCTACATCTATTGAGACACAAAAAAGTTCCCCAAGGTCTTTTACTGAACATATTCTCCACATATTCTTTCTTCTAACATTTTGTATCCAGGTATGAGAATTGCATCTATTGATAAATGATATATCTAGGAATGGCACTAACCACATGTATGGATATCAATGAACAATGTATCACTATTCTGAAAAGGAGGGTAAGGCTAAAAACAGGCAAGTTGCAAGATTTTCTCCAAGTGTTTTGCCTCTGCTTCTGGTGCTCATCCACCAAGCCAGTTATTTCTGTCCTGTGAATGGATAAACATCAAAGAAGGTTTGCATTTCACAATATGAATGGTAAATAAGGCAAAATGTGCAAGGCTATACTCAGAAAATCCTGAGATTGCTACTCAGTGTCTGGACACCCCAAAGACCACAAGAGACCAAGATCTATGTAAGTAGCAAAGAGGTGTTTATTGCGAGCTATCTCAGTCTTCCACGTGCACACAGCAACTGGTGACACTGAGAGTCCCCGAGCCCAGAGTTTGCAACAGTTTTATAATTCTTTGGAGAAGGCAGGGACCCCCACATACATCATAGCATCTCTTAGCAAATCATCACACACCGCAGGAAAATCAAATAACAACTCTAAAACATGATTAGCGTATCAAGTGGTGGGAAAGAATCTGGAAAGAATTATTGATTAGTTCAAGAGGTTGACATACTTAAAATTAATTGGTTTAAATCATGAGGATGTCGCAAGGGGGGTACATGCCAAACTGCAGGGCTTCTAGTTTAGATAGGTCACCACACCTAGGTGGGGGCCATCTGGAATTTCAGATATTTCTATATCTTGGCCTATCTTAGGTGATCACCCTCTGTGGCTTTTCTGAGAACTATTTCCAAAGAGCTTTTCTGTGGTATTTTCCTGACTTTAGGACTACAGTAGGTCAGAGGTTAAGTTTCAGAGCAAAATGAGGTCCCAAGTAGAATGAGATTGCTTAGGTCTTTCAACCCCAGCAAAAGACTCATTTGTTTTAATGTCACCTAATTTTTATTTTTTTTCATGTAAAAGTCTTACAAGTATAAATCAAAATCTTTCAAAACTGCCATCTGAAGAGTTATGAAAAATAATAATCTACAAAACAGCCCCCAAATAAAAGCAGAGAGACAATTCAGCTTGAAACAAAGGAGGAGAAACTAGGCAACCATTAACCTTTCAGTAAATTCTTTCCTGATAACAATAGATACTGAAGGAAGGAGGGGAATACTGAATGTTAGGCCCTGGACTTTGACCTTTCCCTCTTTCAAATTTGTTCTTAAAATACACACAATAAATACTGAATAGTTGGTTCTGAAGGAAGGAGGCAAATACTGTGTTATGCTCGAATTCGGGACCCCCAAAGACCACCAGAGACCCAAGATCGATGCAAGCAGCAAAGAGGTGTTTATTGTGAGCTAGCTCGGTCCTCCGCACACACACACAGCAACTGGTGATGCTGAGAGGCCCCGAGCCCAGGGTTTGCAGCATTTTTATACATTTTTTTGGAGAGGGCAGGGACTTCACATACATTATAGCATCCCTTAGCAATTCATCACACACCGCGGGAAAATCAAATAACAACTCTAAAACATGATTAGCACATTCACTGGTGGGAACAAGTTAGGTAGGGGTGATTGGTCAGTACAAAAGGGGTATTCATTTGGACTGATTGGTTTGAGCCAAGAGGGGTGTACGTGCTGAACTACATGGTTTCCCAACTTGTTATCAACCACCATAAACCACTGGGAGGGTCATCTGACATCCCAGGTATTTCCCTGTCTCATGCTGATTGGTGGCTGCTAGGGGGCTGCTATGGATCCCCACCTAGCCTGACTGAGTCAGGGACACCTGGTGCAGCAGATCTCTCCTGTTATTTTGTAGATAAACAACTTAGCAGGGTGGGAATGTGCTTAGGAGTGCTCTGTGGGTTTTTCCAAGGACTAAGGTCATGTCCCTTCCTTGGACAGGCTTTGCTCTGAGGTAGAGGCTGGTTTTTCACTGAAACTCTGGAAAACAATAAATCCCCCCAAATGTAATACCCATCTCTCACAATTTGGACTCCTATTGAAGCCAGATTTAAAGTTAGGTAGTCAGTGTAGTTAGATAAATCGGGTCTAATACCAAGTGAAATCTAAAATGGAGGCCATGCTGAGAATGATTCCAGGAAACGCAGGACAACTCATGGAATGTTAATGAAGTCCTGAAAAGGCCCTAGGCCAAAGTCCATCCCAAAGAAGTGTTAATGAAGTCCTTCCTGCTCAGACTACTTCTTTGGCCCACCTGTGTCCCACCC